ATTTCACTTCTGTTAGTGACCACGTTTCGCATCCGTACTTCATTACTTTGAATACAGTTGTAATGAGGAAAAGTGCCTAGCCGTTCCGTTTAGAAGACACTTTTAAGAAAATCGGCCGTATTTTGAAGTTTCGCTGCAGCAAATAGCCCATCTACAAGCATTTTTCAGTTGATCATAGCCAAGATAACCTGATCAGATAATCCTGACCAAGATAACCTGGCAGCTGCTTTTTTTAAACAACGTACTGGTTCATTTTTTTGCAGCAAATATGAGCGGTGACAAACAGGACACAGCTGAAAACCCGTTGGATGTTTTTACGAACATTGACAAGGAGCCGAAAAAGTTGAGCATCGAGAAGATTTATCAGAAGAAAAGCCAACTGGAACACATCTTGTTGCGTCCGGACACCTATATCGGATCGGTAGAACATACTGATAAAGCGGTATGCTCAACAAATTTATATTTTATTAAGTTTATTTTGTTCATATTAACCATCTTATTCGAATAATTATTTCCCAGAGACGATTTAAGCAGCTCTTTTTCCACCAAAATAACAGCTAATATTGGTGATTTTTTTAGCCGATGTGGATTTATGATGCGCAAGCAGAACGAATTGTACAGCGTGAAATCTCGTATGTTCCGGGATTGTACAAAATCTTCGACGAAATCCTGGTAAATGCAGCAGACAACAAACAGCGGGACCCGAAAATGAATTTAATCAAAATTAATATTAACAAGTAAGCGCTTTCCTCTCAATCTTCAACCAACGCGATCCGGTAAAGTTGTGTTTGCCCAGGAAAGTTTGTTTCTCTTGATAGTACGGGACTTTTTTCTGTTATAGAGCCACTTTCTTTTCTCATATCGTGAAAGTCTCACATTTAAGAAGGGCGCAAATGAGGCCCGAGGATTGGAGTATGACATCAAAAATACGATGAATCAGGGGCGCGAGAGCAGGGGAGGGGGAGGGGAAGGGGCGATACTTTTGTCAGAAAAGTGAAAAACTCAGCTGAAATGGGCTAAAATTTTAAAAGCTGGCAATTGCCAGTTAAAGAAGGCTTGAAATCTTTTCAAACGCTAACATTTAAATAGGGCTCAAACGAGGTGCTAGAATTGCAGTGGCTTTGAACATTTGGCGGGCCGCTCTGCTATATCGTGTTAGTGATAGGTGATAACTCTATCTCGACCCTAAAAGTTAATAAACTAGAGTAGTGGCGTGCCCTTTGTGTGTGTGTGGAAACACCTAGTCACATATATTTAGTCATATATATGTATGTATAACTGTGTATGTAGTTGTACATATATAACTAAGCGTACAACATGTACGAACTAAAGTTTATATAACTTAAAGCAAGATAAGAAGAACAGTACAGAAAGATGGCGAGGCTTTGGGAAGCCGGAACTTCCCAGAGTAAGGTGATGAACTGCCACTCTGGATTCCGGAGATGGGGAGGAGTGTTTTTGTACCCCATTGGTCAGAGGTCACTAAGACTGCGAAATTTTAACGGAAGTAAGATGTGCAAAAATCGAACTGAGGACCAGGATATTGAGTCATAGTGATACAGTTGTTCCTTATGCATTTTCTAACAAAAACCATAAATCATTATGTGACATATTATGTGAAATTCTTACAAACGAAAGTCAGGACCGTCCTCGTTCCAAAGAACAAAAACCATAAAGTATTATATGACATATTATTTGATAAATCTGTGTCGTTGAGATGTAATTGCCAGTCAGGACACAGCCTTTTATTGCAGAGAAAAGAACGAGATCAGCATCTACAACAACGGCAAAGGCATTCCAGTAGTGCTGCATAAGGTGGAGCAAGTTTATGTGCCCGAGCTCATCTTTGGTACACTTCTCACATCCTCGAATTATGATGATTCCGAGCGAAAAGTTACAGGTACAATTTTTTTGCTCTGTTTACACGTTGTCCGGCCTCATTATGCCTAGCAATGAGATCACTTTGCAGGTGGCCGTAATGGATATGGTGCCAAGCTGTGCAATATATTTAGCTCGGAATTTACCGTCGAAACATCCTCCAAAGAATACGGCAAATCATTCAAACAGGTTCTCAAACTCTTCATATCTGATGCTTTTTTTTGGCACTTTTCCAAAGCTTTTTATAGAGTGTATGTGTTTTTTTCAGACATGGAAGGACAACATGACAAAAGACAAGGATCCATCTGTAACCAAAGCAACTGGCGAAGATTTCACGCGAGTCATCTTCAAACCGGATCTGGCGAAATTCAGAATGAGCGAGCTGGACGATGATATCGTGGCACTGATGTCACGCCGAGCATACGACGTAGCTGGCTCCACAAAAGGCGTCAAAGTGTATCTGAACGGCAAATTGCTCCCGGTAAGATGAATTTTTTAGATGCAGGCAACCTGTGCTGGACCCTTCATTTTCCCGCACTTTTGCGCCGTAGATAATACAGTGCGATTCCTGAATTGCTGCATTTTGTGTTACTTAATTTATGGCGCTGCTTCCAAGCTCTCAGTTTTTCTCGGAAAAATGCTTTAATACCTTTTTTGTCAGTTATTTCGTGGTCCAGTTGTGGTAATTGTAAGAAATGTATACAACTTAATGGACCGAAACATTTCTTGGGATTATAATAATTTTATTAAAATAATTTTAGCAATTTCTTAGTTTTGTTTTCTCTTCCACTCTCCTTCCCATTTCAAAATACCGTTCTATTGCTAATTCGCGACGCGAAATAGTAGGATTTGTGGTGGGAATTAAATCCGATGCATTTGTCCAACAATGCACAAATATCGAAAGCTGTTTTGGAAGGCACGATTTCATGCATCATAATTTAACATGCATTAGAAAATGTTAAGTAACTGCGAAATTTTGATTTAGGTACAAGGCTTCCGTCAGTACGTGGATCAGTATGCGAAACACAATCTGGACAGTGATGGCGAACCCTATAAGGTAGCCTTTGAGCAAGTGAACGAGCGTTGGGAAGTGGCTATGACTGTGTCGGAGAAAGGCTTTCAGCAGGTTTCATTCGCCAATTCTATTGCAACCACGAAGGTTTGTTGCATTTTTTATTGTTTTTGAAAAACGCACTTTTTTAGAGGTTTCACTACACCTGATGTTTGTTGAGATCTGGTCCCGTAGATGCCTCATAAAATTTGGATTTAAGAAATTTTCGTTTTGTCATATAATATGTCACATAGTAATTTATGGATTTTTGTTAGAAATTACGTAAGGAGCAATTGCGTCACTATGATGCGACACCCCCCGGCCCCTGGTTTAGCCTTTGGACACCCTACCCCGTTAAAGTTTTGCAGTCTTAATGATCTCTGACTACTGGCGTGTAAAAACACTGCTCCTCATCTCCGGGATCCAGAGTCGCCGTTCAGCACTTTGTTCTGGAAGTTCCGGCTCCTCAGCGCCACACCGTATATAATTGAACAAATATATGTATTATATAACTGAGTGTTTCCACACACACACACGCAGGGTACACCACTAGTCTAGTTTACTAACTTTTAGGATCGCAGAAGTTTATGTTAGATTCTTTCCTTGTTGCCTGTGGTCTCTTGTTGGTGCTTACTAATATTCGCTTTCCCTAGTATATCTAGTCATTCGATCCTTTGGAACCTGTTGGTGTTTGATTTTTCTGCTGTTATTTGCTGGGATTCAGTCTTGCCTTCGTATTAGGATTTTTTTCTCTTCATGCTACATTTTAAGATTTAGCTTCCCACTTGATGTATATCGAGATCCATTTTCTCCCGTATTTCGTAGAATTCGATGTCTGATTTCTGCTGGAATTGAATCTCTTTATGTTTTCTGTTTCAGATAGACTTTTCGTTTCCGTCTGTTGAGATTGGTATTTTTTATTGTTATTTTTGTTATTTTTTGTTGTTTTTTCGTTTTTTTTTTTTTGTTATTTTTGTTATTTCTTTTTTATTATTTGTTATTCGTTATTTTGTTACTGTTATTTTTCCCGTCCCTGTTTCTGTCGGAAAATTGATGATTGCTATGGTAATGGGCTTCGCTGTAGAACTCTCAATGTTGTTGCTTCAGGGTGGCCGTCACGTAGACTACGTGACCGAGCAAATTACTGGAAAGCTAATTGATCTTATCAAGAAGAAAGTGGGCAAAAGTGGTGGAATCAATGTGAAGCCATTTCAAGTAAGCACTTCTTCGAAAAGCCGTTTCCTTCTGTGATAGATTGCCGCTGTTAATTAAATGCTCAAGTGTGAAATGGAAAAAAAATTTTCAGATCAAAAATCACATGTGGGTGTTTGTAAATGCGTTAATTGAGAACCCGACGTTTGATTCGCAAACCAAAGAAACGATGACTTTGCAAGCGAAAAATTTTGGCAGTAAATGTGAA